AGGAGGGGATTCTTCATCAACATACAAGACTTTAATTCCTCAAACTTATCCACATACTCCTCTAAGTTTCCCCCCTGCTGCAGTTTATTGAATTCTTCAACCAATTTTGATCCCAGCTCGTCTTTAAATCTGGCACACAAGTCTACAACAAAATCCTCCCACATGATGTTGTTCCTCCCCATAGTATAACTACTATACCACATCTCAGCCTTCCCGGTCATATACAGAGAGGCTAGATCAACTTTTTTCTCCTCAGGAATTCGGCACAACATGAAATACTTCACACATTTTTTTATCCAATTTCGAACATTTGATCCATCAAATTGAGGAAACTCTACCTTGGGATTGAAATGTAATTGCCTCGGATTGTCTGATTCTGATCTCCTCTCCTGATTCCGGTTGCTTCCAGGTGTAGAAGTTGATTCCCCCTGGGCGATAGACTTGATCTGCTCCATTATCTGTCCAAACATCGCCTATTGATCCTCGATCTTGCGATTTTGTTGTTCCATCTGGATTGCGAACACCTTTTGCTGATCCACCAAAGCTTTCAAGGCCTCCTCGATTGTTGCCATCTGTGCTGCTTTGCGTCTCGTAATCGCCAGCTCTCAGCCGGAAAGAACCGCTTTGATACCAATGTTACCGGCGAGGAGATTTCGTAGGGAAGAAGGAAATCTCGTAGCTAATAACAGAAAGGAGAGAGAAAGAGAATAAGTGGATTAGGATGAAAAATATCTTTTCTTATTATTCCAGATGTTGAACCACTATTTATAGAGTTGCCCCACAAGGTTACACATAGGATAATAGCATACTTAAACAAAAATAGAAATAGAAAATATAGCTAAGGACTGCATCATATATTATAGCCACGGGTGTTTCGGGTTTTGTATCGAATTAGAGCAAATTAAAGATAGAAGAACGGCAGTAGATTGAAGTTGATGACAACTTAGGGTTATGGACTCAGCAGGGTTTAAAAACTCATTAACTTAAAGATCTTATGCCGAGGATATGGATGGAAATAATACACCGGGTGCTCTGCTTAGTTTGTACTCAGTAATTGTGCAATATATGCCTTATTGAACTTTAGCGGAATATTCAACCAATATATATACTGTATCTATCTATAATTTGGTGCATGTTTGATTTCTGCAAACTGTCAGCACAGAATTATCAAATTTGTACAATTATGAATACAATAAACAACAACAACAACAAAGCCTTATCCCACTAGGTTGGGTCGGCTACATGGATCAAACGACGCCATTGCGCCCTATTGTGTATCAGATTTGCTGACAGATTGTTCACGCGAAGGTCTTCCTTGATTAATGCTTGCCAAGTCCTTTTAGGTCTACCTCTTCCTCCAGCCACATGCCTATTCACCATTTGATCTACCTCTTCCTACAATTATGAATGCAAGAGTTTATTGCATATCCTAGCTCACTGACCTTCCTGTGTGGAAAATATTGCTTTCTTACTTCCCTCCTCACTCATTGGGTATTTATTCTAGTATTTACCCGTTCATTCTTTCATTCGTTATGTAGGTCTGACTGGGTCTGTAATATTAAAGAGTGGACAATTGCCTGATTTAATTTCACAGCTTCAGGAGTTGCTCAAGGGATTAAATGACGCGGAGACATTTCCTGGAAAGTATGATGCTGCTCTTTTAGCTACTCAGGTATTAAGATTCTATGTTTCATTATCCATCTAGATTGATATAGATTTAGCCGGAAATCTGCTGTTCAAGTCAAGACACTAGTCACAGTCTCACACATACACCATGCAGAAAGGAATGACTAAGAAACAAGTGACTTTCAAAAAAAAATTATGGGTAGAAGATGTTAATATCATTAGAATGCTTTTGCGTGTAGATGTTACATACATCTAATCTTAGGTTTCTCGGAATTTAGTGGTTTGTTTTCAGTTTTCTGAAGTGTATCCTGATATTGTAGCTGTCACCATCTCCCTACAGCAGTCGTAGAGCTTCATATCAGTTGCTAGGTCTCTTACAATAGTCTTGGAGCAACCTAGTTGCAGCTGAGCCATCCTACAGTGACCTCATGCAAATATAGTTACCGGAAAAAAAGTGTGCGGTTGTGCACAAGCTCTCTAAAGAGGCTATATATTACCTTGTCCACAGTCCCCACTCGCATAACTTTTTAAATTTTTCAGTCAACTCAACCAAGTTACAAGATTTTACAGATTATGAATGATCACTTAAAACCCTAAAGCATATTTTAAGTTTGTTTGGAGTAATTGGCTAAAATCGGTTGCTGTGTAGCTTTACAGGAGTTTATAGTTTAAAGCTTAATTCACGGTTGTTAGGAATGCATGCTAGATCGTAAGATCACACCCCTATGTGTTAATATGGGATTATGGGTTAAGCAATTTGGATCACAGTCCACAACGAGGATCCAAAAATTCCACACTTGTTTAGGATTGCCGACTCGGATTGCAATTTAGTAGATTGTTGCTCTATGCCAATAGTTGGAGCGGGGCAAGGGTCATCGGCCTACATCCATGCAACAAAAAATACTTAATCAGTTATTCAAACCTACTAACTAGTTTGGATTATTTTCTCATTGTGTTTTATTAAATCAAACACACGTATTTAAATATAAAAAAAATATCTTAGAACTACTCCCTGAAATTAAGAGAGATTACAAATAAGTCACTAAAAGCTAGTTGTCATTTAATAAAACGAAATGCCTTTATTTTCATAAGAAAATTACAAAATAAACACCATTAGTAGCCATGGCTCGTGCAATAAGCCTAATGTGTAATCATGGATTGGATTTTGCTACCAATGTTCATTATCTCCTCTCAACTTCAGTTTTTTATGCAATAATTAATCAAAATAAAGAAAAGCCAATCAATCATAAAAAAAGAAAGTATTTATGATCTCCCCATGAATTACATGCTTATCTCCGAGCTTGTGCATATAGTTAGTGATTCTTCTTCTTTTTTCTCCAATTTGGAACAAGAACTTTGCCCGTCAAAGCCATGCATGTTACGTAAAATCCCCTTCATAAAGGAAAAACACACTTTGATAACTGTTGGAGTTCCCACATCGGAAAATAAAGATGAATGCTACTAGCATATATAGAAGGGTGAAGCACTACCTATCACTATCAGCTTAAGCTTTTGGGTTAGAATAGTGGATCCCGACTTAATATGCATGTGGCTAATTTTACCTGACACTTTACTCATTCTTCTCGACCCACCAGAATTTTAACATGATATCGGAGCAGGTCTGGTCCGGGTTCGATTATTCCTGGTTGTTGGACGTGGGTTTAGCAAAAAAAGAAGAGCTACCAGTCCATGGTTTGGGTTCAGTTGGCTAAATAAAGATTGAGATGCCACCGCCTGTTGTGTGAGTTAGCTATAAGAGATTGAGATGCTAGACTCATTTGTCCAAGTGCTAACTAGGTCAGGCTAGTTAGCACTTGAGGGGGAGTGTTGGAGTTCCCACATCGGAAAATAAAGATGAATACTACTAGCATATATAGAAGGGTGAAGCACTACCTATCAACTTAAGCTTTTGGGTTAGAATAGTGGATCCCGGCTTACTATGCATGTGGCTAATTGATTAAACCACTCACAGTATTTCTATCTTTATGCACCTTGAATTTTAACATCCATTGATCCCTTGTCTCATCACCCCCTTAAAAAATGAAGTATTTTCATCTTACTTGGTTCCATTAAGAGATTAAGGGCTTTGGGAGCCATGAGATGCTGAAATCGCCCTATGTTGGCTACTTTGAGGCCTCGTTTTCACGGTATGAAGAGCAATGGGAGGGTTCAGTTTTGCCATCTCAACATGAACTAAGGGTTGTACTAAATAATAATAAAAAATAAAATACTAAATATAAAACTGTAAGTGTACTAAATATTAAATTCTACCAACAAAGTTGGAAGGTAGATTGTTAGTGCGGTTTCTTCCCTAGCCTTCCAAAGGGTTCAGTAGTCGTGCAGATGTCCTTGTAACCTCTGGAGTACTAGTGCCATTTGTTAGGCGATTGTATTGAGCATATCATAACTTGAAATGGCATATGTCTGATACCAAATGTTATGTGCCCGGATATTGGGTCGCGTCACGGGATGATCAAACAGAATTTGTTTGGATTTTTCTGGAACGAAGTAATTGTTAGAGAAGAATCAGAGAAGAAGATGAATTGTTTTTTTTACGTGAAGATAATTGGAAGAAACAATAACTATGAAACAGGTAAGTTATATGCCTACAACCTATTTCTCCCAAAACTTCCCGGAATGTTGAGCTCTCTCAAACTCCCTAGTTAGTAAATGGGGCATCGTTCTGATTGATTTGTATTAATTCAAATAAACATATTTAAATGCAAATTAAGGATAGATATACAGGTTTCTCTCAAAACATAAGGAGAGAAATACATGTAAATAACCAAAGCTGCATGCCATTTAATAGAAAAATGTTTTTCTATTAATAATACTACGTAATAAATTCATAATAAACAACCATATGCATTCATGACCCATGCATTATGCCTAACTTGTAATCATGTACTGCATTATGCTTCTCACTGTCACCCATAGTTTTCAGAACTGAACCGGTGATCGAACCGGTCAAGGCACTGGTGGTTCAAACATCTATATACATATATATAGACACACACACACCGATATATATATGTGTGTGTGTGTGTGTGTGTGTGTGTGTAAACACACACACACACACACACGTTGTGGCATTGAATTAAAAAAAAACTTATATATGAGTAAACAAAATAATATTTCCTCTATTTATAAATAAATAATTGATGTTTGACTAAATTTATAATTAACTTAATTTACTTGAGTTGTGTCATCACATAAAAAAATCACATATTTAAAAAGTTTATAAATAAAAAGTGATTTGATTTTTTAAAACATTTTACCTAGTATTTAAAATATATATAAATAAAATATTTGTGTAATATGCACTTCATCTCAATTATATCGATGGGTTTTGAATTTTCGTTAAAAAAACTCTATAGTTTTTTTAAAGTATTTGATAAAGAATTTTGTAATTAAAGAATATTAAAGACGAATAGCAAAGAGTTGACACCAAGCATTGTAGCAGAGATGGTTTGAAGCATGACCTTTTCCGTCATTAGGTCTTGGGTTCGAATCTTGGGCATGTGTTTTTTAAAAAAGTTCACAAAAAAAAAACCGGTTCCGGAGGTGAAACTGGACGGTTTTAACCGGTTTTCACCGGTTCATTGCAGAAGCCGGTCTGATTGCCTGGACCGGACCGGTTCAGTGAACGGTTCACCGTTCCCAGTCCGAACCGCCGGTCCGGTCCGGTTTTTAAAACTATGGTGTCACCAACTCCTTTCAACTTCATTCTTGTGCTGCAATGCAATAACTAATCTCAAATCACAATAAATAGAAGTCAAATAATCATAAATAAGAAAAGTCCTCCGGAGCCCAATATTGTGGTGTATCATTGATGCAACTGATTCTACTTCTTTAATTGTATATTTACTATGAAAAGTCTATATAATTTGACATCGTTCATCCCCGAACTTTACTTGGTTTCAGATTCGGCAGTTGGCTCAAGATATTAAGGATTTAAGTTTCACAAGCCCAGTAACCATCTTCAATGGGGATTCTTCCAATAGTAAGTGACAATGTGCACTTACCATGTCTTTGCTAAATTTTCCTTATAGGCTTGGATCCATTTACACATCGATTCTTGAAATATGGATATTGAGTTCATCAGTTACCTAGTTATCATAGCAAATAAGGAAGCCTGTGTATGATATGTGAATTATTCACAATACTCTCATATCTTGTTCACCCTGAGTTCAGCAATTCTAACACATCGTTGCTCTAATGAACTGGGTATCAGATTTCAGAGGGTTCGATCAATCATTCTAGGTCATAGCTAGTTTACTCCCTCTTCTGATGGCCCACCTTCCAATTTGAGACTGTGGCAGGAAATTTAAGTGTTCAGAGATGTGATCTAATAGTCCGATATAAAAAGATGCAACCATCACTGATTTTGTGCAGGGAGTTTTGCTTCTTACCTTCTTCCAGCTGCTGCACTTGGAGCAATGGGATATTATTACATGAAGTGGAAGGCAAGACTATAGTTCAGTCACTTTAAACCTGTGGAATCTTGTAATGATAGATGCTCTGTTTTTTTCTTTCATTTTCCTATTGTTGTATAAAATAACATTAGCTTGTGCATTTGTTTCACAGGGTTGGTCATTCTCAGATGTTATGTTTGTTACAAAGAGTAATTTGGCCAATGCTGTTGTGTCTGTCTCAAAGCAGCTAGAGAATGTATCTGATGCATTGGCTGTAAGTATTGACCCTATAATTTGCAAGTTGCAATGGTAAGTTGGTAACTATTTTTTGATTTATCACATGTTATTGCTCATGCAGTCAACAAAGAGGCATTTGACAAAGAGGCTGGAAACCTTGGATTGGAAGCTTGATGAACAGAAGGAGACATCAGTGCATATTGTAAACGATGTAAGAAATTGTTGCATTACATGTGTGTGCGTGTGCGTGTGCATGCGTGCAACACTACGTTTCATTTATTTGCATGCCATACTGCATTTCATTGCATGCACATAAGTTAGCATAGAGATAAAGAATAGTGTTAACTGGACTGCTCGAGCAGATCCTTCAGTCAAGGATTACTATAATTTTTGTAGTTTAATACCAACAACAAACAAGGTTCAAACTTCAAAGTTAGCTTTCTCACTAAAATTTCAATAAAAATAACCATGCAGTGAGCAAGGTTCCCTTAATAGGTATGAAGCTTTCCTTATAGCAATATAGTGGTGGAAACCACATGATTAACTGCAAGGTTTACCAATGTCTCCAGTGCACAAATCTGCTCTTCTGCCACTTCATACATGACTAATGCAGTAAGATTAACTTTTTTTTGTTGAGTTAAGCACACTTTCATCATTGGGAAGCTTCAGGCTGTCTTTGGGGTATCCATTTTGACAAGAGAGGCAAAAACATCTTTAGATGGTACCCCACAATGAGTTTGTAGCCTGTGCAGTTAACATGACGCACTCCACAACTGTGTTTTGCCTCATGTTATACTATCAGCATATTGATAGCTTTGGAAATGGGGTTGTCTCTCTTCTCACAGAAAATGGAAACACCAACTGACCAACACTACCTTAGGAGAAATTCAATTCCCCCCTCCTAGCGTATTCTTTGAGTTCCTTTTTAGTGACATGTTACAAACTTTTACCATTAATTGTTTAATGTGCGCATTGCATAACAATACAAAATGGTTTCATTGGATTCGTCTTGCAAAAAAACTTTCACAAAATTATTTTATCTTAATTTTTCAAAGAGTAAATTCCATAAATGGTCCTTCATAACAAGAGCTTTTCCATATATAGTCCCCGATTCTAAGATATTATGTTAGTGGTCCTCTATATGAGAACAATTCCATAATCAGTCTTTTGACCCAAGTATTATTTTCCACATATAGTCCACAAAGAACTGATCAAGGAATAGTTCTCAAATATCAAGGACCATAATGTAATTATCTTAAAATTAGGGACTATATATGAAAACCCCCCTTAAAAAGGACCATTTATAAAATCCACTCTTTTTCAAATTTATTATGTTAGATAAACGTCAAATTCTTATGTGGTCCTAAGGTCAAACACTTATTTTGTATAAATACCATGAAAGAGTTGGGCCTTTTGCAAAAAGAAAAAGATCCATTTGTGAGCCCATAAAAATGTGAGAAGGTCCACATTTAATATGTGGACCTTAGGATTATAGAAGCACAACTCTAGGTAAACATGATGATACGGTTAGTTATGATATGATGATATTGTTAGTTATGGCCAACAGTCTAGCTTAGAAGTTTTTGTCAACCTTCTCCATATATTTGAAGCACACAGCTGTTATTAAGTTTTAATAGGTTTTTGGATGAATTCCTCCCGAGACCCTACTTCCGTGGGATTCTACTGGGTTGTTGTTGTTGGATGAATGTTATTCATCTAAGTTACAATGGTGTGGAAGTTGCAAATGTTTACTGCAGGCACTTGAATACTTGTTGATACTGCATAAATGTTACATGCAGGTGAAGGAGGTGAAATCTGGTTTAAATCAAATAGGATATGATATTGACTTGATTCATCAGATGGTATCTGAATTGGTTAGTTATGATATGATGATATGGATCAGAGTTTTTTTTTCCATCGTTCTTTAGTCAGCGGAGGTTTTTAATACCTCAAATTATTTTTGATCAAAATGCAGGAAGGCAAAATTGAACTTCTTGAGATTAACCAGGCAATTTTTTTAATATTCATTACAAAATGTTTCCTTCTCATTTCCATGTTTGTTATCATTAAACATTTTCCAGTTGCATGATATGGTTTTCTGCTTATAGGACATCACTAATTCTGGTCTGTGGTATTTGTGCCAAGTTGCTGGGGGGCTTGAACATGGTCAAAATTCTAAGGCTATTGAGGTACTTGTTCATCTTGTAAATGGCAACATCAATTCCTTCTTTCATACTGATATCTTCTTATTCTAACAGTATCAATAAACATAAATATTTCTTCAGAAACCTCGGGAAAAAGGCTTAAGCGACCTCTTTTGTTTTGCTAGTTTGGCCTTCATTTTTGCTTGACCATGCCTAAAGAGGGTTTACATTTGAACAACTTTGTTTTTATTCTTATAGGGTTTGCTTAAGGATGTGCTCACAACAAAGTAAAGAAAATAATACGTAGTATTTAAAATAAGCATTATGGTTACATGATTGTAGTCTCTATGTTTTCACGCCCCGGTTCATGTGACATTGAACCTCAATGTCATAGCATGACCAGCGGAGCATGCTCCGTTCGAAAAATTGATGGTTCCTCCCCTCCTCGCACCCCCCGATATCGCCAATTTGCTACAGTGGTCATTGTGGCAAATCGGTGATGTGAGGGGGGATGTGCAGGGGGGCTGGGGGGTAGGAACCATCAATTTTTTGAACGGAGCACCTTAGGAGCCCCGGGTCATGACATTGAACTCAATGTCACAGGAACCGCGCCGATGTTTTCATATCAACTTTAGGTTCATTAAACATCGTTAACACTCCCAGATCAACACCTCTTTGTGATTAAAACTTTCCTTTTCTTCTGTGGTACAGGAAGTTGGTGGTAAGTTAATACAACATTCAAAATTGATTCCTGAAGAAAATTCAGTAAAGGTATGCTCTGTTGGGTGAGAGAGTGTCTCTTACGTATTGTACGAAAACGTACACTATGTTTGGTTGAAGGAATTTGAACGGGAAAAGAAAAGAAAATGAAGTGGAAAACAATTTTTCTTGTTTGGTTAGAGAGAAAAAGTGGAAGGAAAAGAAAATGAGAAGTCAAAATATGTACTAAGTGGAGGGAAATCCAGATTCCTCCCATTTTGATGAGGAAAATGAGAGAAAATCATTTTCTTTTCTTTTCCTTCCAAATTCCTTGAACCAAAGATAGTGGTAATGAATGTAGTGTGACAAAGTGCCGGTGTTGCTTGTACAGGGGCTTCAGTTCATTGTGGAAGCTGATGAAGCAAGTGCAAAACAAATCCCAGCTGTAGATGCAAGTGAAATGGACGGTCTTCCCAAAGTTGGTGGCCATGCCCCTAAAGTTGTTTCTACTAATAAAATGAAGATTCACAGGTCCTATCGGGTTGGGTTATCTTTGAATACAACAAGTATGTTTGGTGCCCATATTTGACAATAATCACTCACATTCTACTTCTGTATTCATTTTTTTTTGTGTGTGTGGCTTCAATGTGTGCATATGGTCAGGGATGGAGGTTTGATTGTCTCTATTGATATCTCCATCTCTAATCGAAGCACACCGAATCACAACATTTCATTAGTTTTCTCTTCCGAGGAGAACATTTGTTTCTTTTCACTTTCGCATCATGTATTTCATCTTGTATTGTAATCTTCAAATGATGAAATGATAATCAATGACTCGGTCAAAAAACACTTCGGTATCAATTGTTTGCACCCCATGCTTTCTTTTTACTCATCTTCGTCGTCTAGTGACAAGTCAAAGTGCGAACATATTACAACGAAATCAATGTAAAAGGCTCACGCCTCACAGAATAATTTTCCAACCTGAAGTGGCTTGCAATGCGGTGTTGAATCTCTTTTCACATTTGGAGGTTTAGACACAACATTGATGATGACATTATTGAATAGCTTCGAATCCTTAAATTGTTCAGCTTGTTCGCCAACCTATATTTCACATTAATACTCCGTCTATAAATTTTAATTCAAATTATATTGAAAATATTTTTTAAGTATCGTAACTCACAATAATAGTCTTTTTGGATAGATTAGTATCACTCCTATAGCTAATGCGTTTAGTAGCCTCTTTATAGATTTTGAGCATGGGATGTTTACAAGTTGCAATGTGGAGTGAGTCCCATTAACCAATTTCTCTCTCAATTGTGTGTTGTTGCTTGTGTAAATAAACATTACCAGGCAATGGCATATTGGCATGAACTCTGTTTCCATTTTATAAAATGTATGGAAATAAAATACTCTCTCCGTTCTATAAAACCTTACTCTTTTCATTTTTCTCTAATTCCCTAAAACACTTTCTCTTTCTATTAAAAAACCACTTCTATCCTTACTTTTTTCTTACCCTACATATCACATCATATTTTTTCACTAATAACCAAGCTATCACATCTTACTTTTACCCATCACATCAGGAACAAAATTAGAAAGTCAACATAAATTACACTTCCCTTATTTTGTCCCAAAGTCAAAATAAGAATGATTTCAAGGAACGGAGAGAGTACTATAATTGTATGGGAATAAGTTTTTAAGAAGAATTCATCACCTATTTGCTAGCCTTTATTGCTTAAGGCCAAATGTGAAGTTATATAAAATTAACCCTTCTCTTTTTTCACGTGTCCAAAAATAACATCATTTTTAAGAAAATATTTAATGATTCACAATTTTTCTACTCCCTCCAGTCCTAAAAACATGAGAATTATTAATTTTTAAGAGATTTAAAGAAAGTGTACTTTGGTATTGAATTTCCAAAAAAGTCTTTTGATGTGACGGTAAAAATAAGATTTAATGGATAAATTATTAGTAAAAAGGTATGATGTGATAAATAGGTATAAAAAGTAAAAGGTAAAAGTAACATTTTAAAAAGAATAAGAAATGTTTTTTTGGGAATAATAAAAAAAGGAGAAAGATTTTCAAAAATAAAGGGAGATGTTCTAAAGAAATTTCAAGCGCACTTGTTAGATTTTTACAGAGTAACACACTCCTTCCAGCATTTGAATAAGATTCACATGACCATATAATGTTTAAGATAAGATGCGAAGTGTAGGGTGGCGGGGGTCCCGAAACAGCAAATTACTAATGTTTAATTTTTCTATGGTGAAAAACAAGAAATTAATAAAAGCTTTCAAAACCAAAAGGGGCGGGAAAGAAACATCGACCAAGAGAAGAGAAGAGAAGAGGACTGTGGTAAGGGAAATCACAGTAAGGGAAAAAAACTCGTCTCAACTAGTAGAGATAGATAGGTGCCATTTCTTTCTTTTTTTTTCTACAGCTCATCGTGAGAGTCATCATCTTCGGAGGAAGCGCCGCCAGGGGCACCGCCGGACCTCTGGTAGACGGCTGAAATGATGGGGTTGCAAACAGCCTCCACCTCCTTGAGCTTCTCGTCGTAGTCCTCCTTCTCGGCACTCTGGTTGTCGTCCAGCCACTCCAGGGCCTCCTTCACGGCCGTCTCGATCTTGTCCTTCTCGTCAGACTCCAGCTTGTCCGCAAGCTTGTCCTTGTCGCTCACTTGGTTCTTCATGTTGTAGACATAGTTCTCCAGACCGTTGCGGGCATCGATCCTCTCCTTCACCTTCTTGTCCTCCTCGGAAAACTCTTCCGCCTCGCGAACCATGCGCTCAATCTCTTCCTGGCTCAGGCGGCCCTTCTCGTTGGTGATGGTGATCTTCTCTGACTTGCCTGTGCCCTTGTCTTCAGCCTTCACGTTTAATATGCCATTCGCATCAACCTCGAATGTGACTTCTATCTGTGGGGTTCCCCTGTTCAAGCACAGGTATTTACGCACTCAAACTCCATGTTTCTTTACGGGAGATATGAGAGAGAGAGAGAGAGAGAGACGATCGGGCAAACCTCGGAGCTGGTGGAATTCCAGTGAGCTCAAAGTTTCCAAGAAGTCTGTTGTCCTTGGTAAGACTTCTTTCACCTTCAAAAACCTGTCATTTTTTGTGTTATTATTATTAGAATGTAATGGGGTCGAGGGAAGTGGAATAAAAAAAATGTGTTTATCATCAATTAGTATATACCTGAATGGAGACGACTGTCTGTTGGTCCTGGTAAGTGGTGAAAACTTGGGACTTCTTTGTTGGGATCACAGTGTTCCTTGGGATCAATTTGGTCATCACACCACCCACGGTTTCAATACCGAGGGTAAGTGGAGTCACATCCAAAAGAAGAAGATCTGCAAACAATATGTAAATCAAAACCCTCATGATCACACACTAATTAATAATGGTCTCGAGGAGTGATTGTGTTCAAGTACTAAGTTACCTTTTGTTTCATCTCCGCCTTCTCCGCTTAGAATGCTACCTTGAACAGCAGCACCATATGCAACTGCTTCATCTGGGTTCACTCCCTTGTTAGGCTCCTTGCCATCGAAGAAATCTTTGAGAAGCTGTTGAACCTTTGGAATTCTGGTACTTCCACCAACAAGGACAATCTCGTCGATTTGGTTCTTCTCCAACCCAGCATCATCCATGGCCTTCTTCACTGGCCCCATTGTCTTCCTGAAGAGATCATTGTTCAACTCCTCAAAGCGAGCACGGGTCAATGGCTCAGAGAAATCAGTGCCATCATAGAGCGACTCAATTTCTACTCGGACTTGGTGTTGGCTGCTCAATGCCCTCTTGGCACGCTCACACTCCCTTCTGAGCTTTCCAAGAGCCCTGTGATCCTTGCTTATGTCTTTTCCATGCTTTTTCTTGATCAGCTTGATGAAGTAATCCATGACCCTCTGATCAAAATCCTCACCTGCAATAAGGATAAAAAGAGTTTCAACACAAGTCTTATGATGCTAGACCATTTTTCACAAGCATTTCAAAATTAGTGGACGGAAAGGGAGGGCACCACTGGTTCCAAAAGGAAACTTCTATACAAAATAACAATTGAATTCCATATGACAAAATCTCACCTCCCAGATGGGTGTCACCGTTAGTGGATAGAACCTCAAAGACACCATTATCAATGGTCAAGACACTGACATCAAATGTCCCACCACCAAGATCGAACACAAGGATGTTCTTCTCAAGACCTTTCTGGTCAAGTCCATAGGCAATGGCAGCAGCAGTTGGTTCATTGATAATTCTTGCAACATTAAGTCCAGCAATTATGCCTGCATCCTTTGTAGCCTGCCTTTGGGCATCATTGAAGTATGCTGCACGATATTAATTAAGTTCATGTAAGCCAACATTTAATGATTTGAAGCAATGAGTATGCCATAATGTGGCATGTGTGATACAATAGATCAAACATCTATCCTAGGAGTTGAGATGTACCGGGAACAGTAACAACTGCATCCTTAATCTTCTTTCCAAGAAAAGCTTCAGCTGTCTCCTTCATCTTTGTAAGAATCATAGCGCTGATCTCCTCAGGGCTGAACACTTTTACTTCCCCATTATTGATTTTCACTTGTATAAAAGGCTTTCCATCCTTGTTCACAATCTTGTATGGAAACAGCTTCATATCCTTCTGAACCTCCTTATCCTCAAACCTGTGAAAAAGGTTCAAAGCAAATAATGAGTGCAAATCCAAAACAACCCAACTGTTACGTTTAAGTAAGTTCCCCTTACTTTCTTCCAATAAGTCTCTTAACATCAAATATGGTTCTCTCGGCGTTGACAGCTGCCTGGTTCTTTGCAGCCTCACCAATCAATCTTTCACTGTCAGTGAATGCAACCCATGATGGAGTAATACGATTTCCTTGATCGTTTGCTATGATTTCGACATGACCATTCTTGTAAACACCAACACAAGAGTAAGTTGTTCCAAGATCAATGCCGATGACTGTGCCTAACTTTGGCGCCTCCTCCTTTGCAATAGATATTGCAGCTAGACATCCTGTTGAATAAATTGAGCCAGTAAGAAAGAAATTCAATATAAACTCATCAAACAGTTATAATTCACCCATTCAAGTCTCTTCAGACGGGTGCAAGTAATAGGAGCACTTCAGATTACAGACTACACCACTAGAGAATTACAATGGCTAGAAGTGAAGGTAATAGCTTATGTAGTGAGTCAACTATCACCTAATAGTACTAAAAGTACTATAATCCTGATATAGTTTGCATCATTGAGGTTTACTACCATCCAGAATTGGTGCTTATAGCTACAACAATGCTGCGTAGTAGCAACATAACTTTTATTAGGTGAACATTAAATAATATCTTTAGATTATTCCTGTTATAAACTACTGGTCAAATTACCAACTTACAATAGGTTCATATGCTCCCACTTTCAAACCGATCACCTCCGATGAAGAGAAATTTTCAAATTGATAAAACAAACCCACAGAGATTCCAACAATAAGAATTGAGTTTTAAACAAAAGCTATTATCCATTAAAGATACAGAACAATACAAATCCAAGGATTGTCTTCCCCAAAAGTTCCCTTGGATAAATTAGGCACTTCCACATAGAGAAATCGTTGCACAATTACCATAGTTTTCCATGAATAAGTATGCCAGATTTAGACGATATAAATCATTATAAGATGGGAGAGCTAGATCTACTTAGCTGTCCCCATTTTCTAACTGTATAAGCTACAGAAGAACAAAGAGAAGAGTGAACGGCTTTTACCGATGAAAACAATTGCAAGGACGCCGAGGGAACCGCTTCGCTTCCAATAGCCACCTACGGCCATGGTCAGTCTACCTCTGCTTCTATCTACCTACAACGTATG